GAAACGGAAAAATAACAGCTACATATAAATTAAAACCCCAGATTACCCAACTTTATAAATAAGAGCACACGACATCAGATGTACGTACTTGTTTCGTGGTTTATACCCTCTGTTAAACCAATTTTGAAATGCAACAACATCAGCCTCATCCACATGCTTGTCAAAAATAATAGCATCATCGGAATGCTTAATTTATTTTCCAGTATCGATAACATACGGGGACTGTAGTATCCGTATGGGTTTGGGGGCTCTCTTAACTGGCAGACTTGATGTTGGTGCGGAAGGAGGAGACCCCTACATGCATGTCAGAAAATAATGAATGCATTGTTTGAATAAATATATTTGTGTAGACAATATATTATGTGACTATATGAAGTACTTGATCCTCATTTACGATCTTTGTCTCTACATCAGCCTGCTCCTCAATTTCACAGTCCTTCACCACACCAGCTATAATAGCATCAACTTCATTAGAAATGATTGGTGTTGAAACAACACCCAAGTTGAAAGACGGGGTCGGGGGAAAGGAGGGATACTCAATTTCGTCAGTTGGGTCCATCTTGCCCTTGCCTTTCCTATCGATATGTTGTTGAATGTCTGTAACCTGCAGTAACACTATTAATAGACAACTTAAGGTAATCACTACAAAAAAGGATTTCAATTATAGAATTACGTACCTTCTCCTGCTGTGGTGCATCTCCTACACTGTGACCTTCATTCTTCTCAGTTGTTTTTGCTACAATTGCATCCATCGTGCTCGATATTAAAACGATAATAGAATCGGACAAGAATGCCATGCTCGACCGTATTTCCATCATGTCCAATCGAATTTCACCTTGGACACAAATAAGGTGATCAATCTGACTGCTCCTATCTCGTTTTAAGTCTAATAGTTGTGACTTCAGGTCCTTGAACTGCACTGTTAACTCTTTATTAGTACACTGGAGTTCAGTCATCTGTCCACGTAACTCCGCTTTCAACTTTTCAAACACCTTTAAGCAAATAATTGCAAAATAGTTATGTCAAATTGTTGTGATTTGTGACCAGTTCAAATATAAAAGATATATGTTTGGGATTTGTGAAAAAATAATGTAAGATAAAAATATATTTCTCAGTAAACTGTGACCAGGCACTAGTCCGTGACCTTATTCGGCAAATCTGTAACCTATACACACAGGTCTACTACTCGTTGAAAAATGCATGATCTGACAATTTAACACATTGTTATATGACCTGGGATTGGGACATAATTGCCGAAATTGTGACTTCATAAATAAAAAGACTAGATAACTTACAGCTGGTTGTGGTTCATCATCTGCGTGAGTAGCCTACAGTTGGGGTGAAGTATGGATATCATGCTCCTCTGGCTCCGTAGGATAATATTCCCGAGTTGCATGCTCCTCGGTAAGTGGGTGGAAACGGGAATGTGTCTTTTTCCTTTTTGAAGGTGTATCAACAAAATCATCGTCGTCGTCGTCGTCGTCATCTTTAATATCACTTGAATGCCCTTTACATCCATCTGTAATCATTAACAACCGTGGTCTGTTTGGAGATTGGGCATGGGCACTCGTGCCTGCGTCGCCCGTATCTCCAAATTGCATGTCCTCTCGTACATGTGGTTGCAAAGGTTTCTTGTACAAAATGTCTTTCATATATGAAGCTACAATTTTATCATCAGACAGAACAACGTAACGAACTTCAATCTGCAACAGTGATATAATTAATAATCATATTAGTTATCTACGAACATATTGATTATCAAAGTTTTGTGACATAAGCATGTTCAGTGTCATTATCGTGCGATGGAAACTTGATGACATCACACGGTGAATGTAGCATAAATTTCATGCGTGTGATCTGTGAAACATGCAATGACCAAATCATGTGTGACTAACGTGTACATAATTGTGACCTTTACACTATATATTATCTGTTGTGACCCTTAATATGTAATTGCAATAGCAATGAACAACAACTCAGAACCAAAAGATTCATCCAATTTAACTACAGACAGCTGTCTGTTCGACGCCCAGTTCACAATGCGGGGTGCCTATTCCCCACCCTATTGGTCACAGGTCCAGTAAGACTTGGAATTGATTCATAAATCCAGACTTGAAATGCAATCAAAAACCCTTTCAACCTGTAGTGGGGATTCATATGACCCAAATCTTCTTTTAGAGATTTTTTAGACATCTCAAACAACTCCTTACCCCAAGGAAACCGTTCCATCGCGGCAAAGTCTTCTCCTAAGGCAAATAGGTAGTTTTCAACCACCTTCTTATACGACGTGGAGAACAAGAAAGACATTATCAAGTATAAAATCCCGATACTTAAAACATCATGATCGTCTGCATCTAACAAGTTCAAGGGGCGTACATCTTCATTTGTGACTAGTTTCAAATTTCCAAAATACGTTCTCTTAATCCTGGAAGAAATATGCTCAAGATTTTTCCTGACGTCCTTACCATTACACTCATACAAGTGACTACACAAAACTCAGACAACGAAAATCGAACATATTTGTTTGCAACCTTGAATCACATCTCATTGGGATTCGGTTGCTTCACCTCCCTCAACAAAAAGTAGTGTATCAGTTGAGGCTGCACCACAATTTCCTGGCAATCCATGTAAAAGGAAAAACAAGTGCCTGCCAAAATAAGCTTATGTTCATCTGTAACTTTGATTTGAAGTTGCTCAACACATTCCTGGTCACATTGGTTGTAATTTTGCGAGGAAATCATAGGTCTTAAGGGAGTATGTAATTCCATTCTTGCAAGACATTACAAAAATTGGAAATAGATGTCAAAAACCTTTATCATGCGCACATGCAAATTCAGACATAAAAACATATAATCACATAGATCACAACCATTTCTCACAACACACTATGGAGTCACAAGTGTATTTAAAAAATTGTAACATGTGTTACCAGTATAATTTCAAAAATCACTCAAAACATTTACAACAACCATATCGAATAACATGGGCCAATTTACAGAGTCAAAAATCTGTATTGGACAAAAATGGTCACAAACCCACAGGTCACAACCACAGGTCCAACTCACAGGTCACTTGAAATCGTTGAGTCACATTTGAAATTGAAAAATGGTCACACAAGGATTACAAATTTCCATAGTCACAAAATCTACATAGGACAAAAAATGGTCATATACCCACAGGTTACAACCATTTAGCGAGTTCAAAAAATGGTCACATACCCACACAAACCCACAGGTCACAACCCACAGGCCACTTGAAACCGTTGAGTCACATTTGAAATTGAAAAATAGTCACACAAGATTACAAATAAACCACGTCATAAAATGAAAATTCCGGATCAATACCGCAATACTCCGTTCACAGTCATTTAGGGAGTTAAAAAATCATTTACCCATATGCTCATTTAACTCAATAGACTACAGAGAACACTTACATTGTTCGATTTTCATCTTCGAGACCCGGTCGAGGTTTTCGAGGTTTCATCGCGGACACGTTTATCGACTTGTGGACTTCTGGCGTTCCGTTGATGGCTTGCAGAGGGACGGTCTGTTTTTTTTTGTGATTTTCTGTCACAACTTCGGGTTTTCGTCATTGCCAAAGCCTTGCAGTGCTTTGTTCGACTTCGGGTCATAAATACGAAAGGATAGATGAAGACGGTTTAAGATTTAGGGTAAATATCTTATATCACGGTTGATCGTTGAGGGATGTGGAGTGCGGTTGAGCGGTTTAGAAATATTTCTTTACCTTATTTAAAAATTTTCTCTCTGTACTATTAACATAAAAAGTGGGAGCGATTAAAGATAATAAATATATTAAAATATTGATAAATAATTAATTACGACCTAATTTCTGAATTATGGAACCTAATTACTTAATAATAAAATATGAATTTAAAATACCTCAGTGGCTATAATTTCCTCTTTAAGGTCCCAACTCATTAAATTAACCTTCAATTGACGTTTAGACTTTGGCCACTTGATCATCAAAAGACTTTAACAATTACGATTTTGAAACCTTGTGCAAACAGAACTTAGTCCATGTTCTTAAAGTCTAATTTGGCGTCGGAAGAATCCTTTCTCAAGAAATTGTATGTTCACTTTAACACGTGACCAGAAGGCCTTAAGGCTTCAACTCAAGACATGTGACATCTTTGCTATACTTTTTAACATTATTTGAGGTATATACTTGTATTTGGGGTGTCTAGTTCCACTTTTTTGCCCAATTTTCAGCCCTTTTTGGACTGTTGGAGACTTGCCAGCCGGAATTATTGACTTCCAAGTCTCACAAAGGGGCCCATATACGGGACAATAACGGTAAAAAAATCCATTTCTTCTAAAAAAATTGGAACGAGATAGGCCCTTTCTTGTTGAGCATGCTACCTCATAAAACAATAACAAAAAATAATTAAAAAAAATATATCATGAGATGTGGAATTTTACTCAATAAAAAAATGTCATGAGATGTTGAATCAAAAAAATATTGTAGGCAATTTTTTCCTGCCGAGTTAACCTTAGAATGCTATCCTAAGGTCAATGCTTGGATTCCTTTACTAAAAAAGTAATATTATTTAACATTAGTAGTGCTAAATAGTAAGTTCTAGTTTACATGACATGCAAGTGTCACTAATTGAACAATCATCTTAAAAGTAGATAAATGAATCACATTTAAGATATTTTGTCACTTGCACCATCTAAACTGGTACATTGGTGCTACAAATCATTATTTTTACTAAAATCTTTTCACTCTTAGAATTTACGTACAAAATTTAACCCTTTATTGCCAAAATTAATCTCCTAAGATTCAGTTGTCTGCTTTTATCAATCTTCTAAGAAAATTGGGAATTTAAAACGTATGAAAACAAACTAAAACATGCAAAATGCGTAGAAGTATAAAGTTCTCTGAAATACCATTTAAATTCAGGGGTCAAAGTGACAAAATCCCCAAATATTAGGAACCAAGTGACAATTAACTGAGTATAAATTGGCCATTTAGACTGCCATTCTCTCATAGAGAGACGCTTCCAGACCCGCTTCACCAATTGTTCTTGACTTCAATAGAAAGGTACTTCCCTTAACTACACACTTCCTCTACAACATTTCGTTTTTAGTCTCTATAACAGCATCTGAGTAGTTAGACGAGTAGAGGTAGATGTATGACATAATTTATTGTTAGGCGAAACCGTGTTTAAGAAATTGGAATCAGTGGATTATGTTCTTGTAATCGTCTTGAAAGTATGCCTTTTTGGATTCATTTTACTCTAATGGTGAACATATATCTATCCAGGAGAGATTACGGGTCTGAAGTTTTTGTAGGTTATGTTGTAGGTTCATAATATGAAAAAACATAAGGGTTTAAAACTGGAGTTTCTTTTCTGGCTAGCCCAATGGAAACTCTGAATAAAATCATTCGCGTTTATATTGGATTATTTCTGCTCTTCATTACCTAGATGCTGATTTCGATCCGGTTCTTTTTGGGTTCTGAAATCTTGAAGTTATTAGTTTTCTCAATTTATGCTGCTATGCGTGTCCCAATTCTTTGACTTGCCCTAGTACTGTTACTGATTCAGCTTCCTCTGCTGTTAGTTTCAAATTCTGCAGCAGCTTTTGTTTTAATAGATTTTGGTATTCAGGCCATGGAAGCTGGAGGTAATTCTTTACCATCTGGACCTGATGGAGTGAAGCGTAAAGTTAGTTATTTCTATGACCCTGAGGTTGGCAATTACTACTATGGCCAAGGTCACCCAATGAAGCCGCACAGGATTCGCATGACGCACGCTCTTCTTGCCCACTATGGATTACTGCAGCATATGCATGTTCTAAAGCCCAATCCAGCCAGAGAGAAAGATCTTTGCAGATTTCATGCTGATGATTATGTTTCTTTCTTGAAGAGCATCACCCCAGAAACACAACAGGATCAGCTAAGGCAGCTGAAGAGATTTAACGTTGGTGAAGACTGCCCGGTGTTTGACGGTCTCTATCCTTTCTGTCAAACCTATGCCGGTGGTTCTGTTGGTGGGGCAGTGAAGTTAAATCATGGACACTGTGATATAGCAATTAATTGGGCTGGTGGATTACATCATGCTAAGAAATGTGAGGCTTCTGGTTTTTGCTATGTGAATGATATAGTGCTGGCAATTTTGGAACTGCTCAAGGTTCATGAGGTTGGTTGTCCCTGTTTATCCCTTCTTGTTGATATCTTTTGTGTGCCATGCATATTGTTAAACTAGATGGAGAACATTTATGAAGAAGCACGTTCATCAATAATAAGCTTGCTTTTCAATTTCTTACTTTGATTTCATTTAACTTGACTTCAAGTTCTGCTATCTAGCTGTACAGAATTTTCTTGCTACCCTGAACAAAGTTTGAATTCCTGGAATTCCGCTTTAATAGAGTGTGTAAGGGGAAATAATCTTTTAATTATTTTTCGAAACTGAATTTTATAATTTGCTTATTTAATTATAAATATTAGGTGTCATGTCCAAAGCAAAGTCATGTATATGTTTCGGGGGATACAGCTTGGAGAAAAAGCAGTTGGACAACCTTCAATCACTTCAGAGATTGGAATTCTGAATAAATAAGTTTCCGTTACAACCGAAATACCTGCGCAAGTAAAAAATAGGTGCGAAGGGGCTTAGGTATCTTACACATTTATAGAATTACTCAGTTCTTCTCATAAACTTGATCTAGAACAATTTGACTGGTTTTTGGAGACTTCTGCACGTTATTGACGGCATTTGGACCTATAAACAGTAGTAGTTTTATTATGATAGAAAATAACAACCAAGAGATTTCTTATAATTACAACACATATAAATGGTTCTCAAGGATCCAATATGACCACTTGGGTCTACGTTGCTACGGTATTATTCGATAGAAGCGAGTGGTTAGAAGCTCAGTCCGATTTATTTATTTATTTATTATTTATTTATTTTTGGCGTCGTAGGATTGGAATACCATCATTAAGCCCCTGTTTGGTGGCCATTTTTTCAAGAAAACATTGTTTTGAATAGTAACTTCTGGAAAAATGTGTAGTTAAAAAGTAAGGAAAAGTTTTGGGTTTATGTGCACAATATTTTATTGAGTGAATATGTAATTGAAAATGAGTATGTAGAAAAAAGAGTTTTGAAAGAATGAAAACAAACAAAGCTAAGTTGAAAATACCAGAAATTCCTAGAGGCATATCATTAGAAAACCTTCCTTGACCAATTGGGTAGATCAAGAAAACAAAGGTAGCAACTGCAAAAGGAGCTGAACATGCAACAACTATCCAAGGTCATCTATTTCAGGAAATATTAAAATTATAATATTAATCTATTGAAGCTAGGAGTCTAAAATTTTCTCATGTTTCAGGGGATATTCATAGTTTAAAAACTTAGAATTTGTTTTGAGTTGGAATAATAATCTTCCTATTATTTTCTCAGAAGCATGTGATTTTTCATATTTTGGGTTTTCCATGTAAGTCCTAATTTTATGACTTTTCATCATGTTAATGTTTCTTTTATGCGGTTGTCTGTCTGAACATCAATCTGTGTAACTCATGTAAAAATTAAAAAAGACATTCAAGAAGAAGCTAACGCAAACATGAACTTAAAAATTTGAATCACACAATCTATTTAACCCCCTTCTGGTTGTTGAGACTGGATCAAACCAATGGACCATTTTCCTTGAATAATAGTTTATTTTATAAAATCACGATCAATGTAAAATGACAATATTTGTAATTCTCATGTTTGAGCTAATTATAGTATTAATTTTCAGTAAAAATTTTAATGCTTGATCATGATACCTTTCTATCCTGCATATAAAATCCTCATTTTTTGCTGCTTAAAGTACGTAAGAGCTATTTATTGTTTTCTCAGCTTATCAGCATATGACATACCAGTGTACTACAATATTTGTATTGATTTATTTTTTTGTTTTTTGCAGCGTGTTTTATACGTGGACATTGATATTCATCATGGTGATGGTGTTGAGGAAGCATTTTATACTACAGACAGGGTGATGACTGTGTCTTTTCATAAATTTGGAGATTACTTTCCTGGTACAGGGGATATACGAGATACTGGATATGGAAAGGGGAAATATTACTCCCTTAATGTTCCACTAGATGATGGAATCGACGATGAAAGCTATCAGTCTTTGTTTAAGCCAATAATGGGTAAAGTGATGGAAGTTTTTAAGCCTGGTGCTGTAGTTTTACAATGTGGGGCGGACTCTCTGTCTGGAGACCGATTGGGCTGCTTTAATTTGTCAATTAAAGGTCATGCAGAGTGTGTCAAATATATGAGATCTTTTAATGTGCCACTACTCTTGCTTGGTGGAGGTGGCTACACAATTCGGAATGTTGCTCGCTGCTGGTGTTATGAGGTAAGAGGCATATTCTGCAACTACTAAACTCTTCTACTGGGATGTATTTTGATGTCAAAGTTTATAGAACTTGTACCCACCACTCCAAAGACGCATTGAGGATAAAGGAATACAATATGGTGTTATAATATATAGTGTGTTTATTCATTAGATGTGGCACAATTTTAACTTGTCCATGTGTGAAAGTCATGTATTCTGTAGGTCCATGCTTACTCCGTCAAGTCATACCCATGCATACTGAAGTTCACATTGAACCAAACTCTCACTCCTTTATAGTCTAAGTTCCCAGATTAGGCATGCATTCCCACTTCGGTGATTTCTGAGAGACTTGATATTGGAGACATAATTTTTATGTTCTTACTTATATTAATATTTGGGTTGTTGTACTTGACACCTGAAGATTTATGATAGCTTCCATTGGCCTTGTCATTTTGAATAGACTTGAAATTACGTGCCACAACCACTGCATTTTTTTATCACTCTTATAATGTTCTTTGAAATTTATTTAATTATAATTTTATTGGGCATGAAACGTAAATTAACTGTTAAATAAAGTTAATTAATTTTTTCTTCCCACCTGCTGACACTTGTATCACATTCTAGAGGATGGAAGCTATGGTCACTCAATCTCTCTTGCACCGACATCTTTGTTTTATGATTAATTAGAAATAACAACGATGGCTATAATGCAACTAAAATAGGATAGCAAATGATTATTCTTATCTTTCCTTTACCTTCATTCAAAGTTTTGATATCTACACAGACATATTACTATATTTGAAACGTTTTAAATTATTTTTATACTATGAGAAAATGCCTTTCCAAATTATATTGTTGTTTGACCTTGTGGATTAAGTTTCCAAACTGTCTGACTAGAGCTCGTAAAGCATTCTGCAGGTGTCTGAAGAGCTTTCTGTAGTACATTGATGGGTTCATTATAATACTGTAGGTGTCAGCATAAAATGACGACACATATTTGTTTCCAGTTTTTTTAAAAAAAAAAAAAAAAAAAAGGGAATCGAGCATGAATTTCTGTGTAAAATTTATCTAAATGAACATTTCCAACTTCTACGAAACCTATTCCTTTTTTGCTGTTGTTAAAAGGAAGTGAAGAATGAGAACGGATTTAATATTTCTGTTAGCACAAAACGGTCATTTGTGACAATTTCTTGAAGTCATTACAAAGGAATTGTTTGGCTGATTTGGATTTTGGATAGAAAGTAACAACAAAACTTTTGACTGAGAGAGAGGAAGTAGTAGCTGACCTATGGGATAATGGGAAATTTTGTGGTGTCTTATGGGTTTTTACAGATTAGGAGTGCCAGGATTTTTCTCTCCTTAGTCAATCTAGGCTGGAAGATATTGTGTTCTTGGTTTTCTTTCTATCTTTTGTTGTTAGAGGGTACCTTGTCCTCAGCAATACCAGGATGAGAATAGAATCTATGAGAAGATGGACCAAGCCAATATTTCTACTCTCTTTCTTGGGATTGGGATCTTTGTTGAAAGGCAAGTTGTCACAATTGAACAGTGGAGTAGAGTGGGTCTCTGATAAATATAAATTTGTATTTTTAATAATAATCGAATAGTTTTTTATCCAGAAAAAAAAAATGGAATTCCCATCCCCGGTAAAATGGTAAATTTGCATTTTTCTTATATTAAATAAAAAAAAAAAAAAAAAAAAAAAAAATCATTATCCATAACTTATTTAATCCTCTCAATGTTTTTTGGGAACTAGAACCTAGTTTCATCTGTGTGATTTTATCAATTTATTTTCTGTTGTGTTTTTCCAGTTTCTTTTAATTTTGCTAAACAGTATATATATATTTAACAGACAGGCGTGGCACTTGGGATTGAATTAGATGATAAGATGCCACAACATGAATATTACGAGTATTTTGGTCCAGATTATACTCTTCATGTTGCTGCTAGTAATATGGAGAATAAGAATTCTTGGCATTTGTTGGAAGACATCAGAGCCAAGCTCCTTGATTATCTTTCAAAGCTTCAACATGCACCAAGTGTGCAGTTCCAGGAGCGACCACCGGATACGGATCTTCAAGAGGTTTGTTCTAATCAGGAAATCTACTTAAATTTTATCATCTAAAATCTTGCCATCCCCCTTTTTGTATCTCTAGGTCTTGCTTGGATATCTGAGTATGTGTATCGTTCAAATTTCACATTTCAACAATCTTGACCTGCTTTCGATCTCCATTCCATGTTTATCTTTTCCCGGAAAATATATATATATATATATATATATATATACACATATAATAATATCCTCTATACTACTATAAAATGTCAGAATTTGTTATATTTTCAATTCCCGTATATTGAACTATTCAACAGGTATAATGATTTTCATTTTTTATATCTTATCCATTAACTTTTTCTTCTCATTAGTTTTCCTTGCTCTTGTTAGATTTTATTTCATAATTGAATGGCAAATGTGCTACTGCTGACATAACATAGGAATTAGCTACCCAGAGTATTATTATAGTATGACTGAGTCCAATAATGAATTATGACGTGACTGTTGAGCAACGTGGAAAGAGGAGAATATCATGAAATATGGACCTGACGATGCTGAGATTTCCAGCTAGGTGTAATTAACGTTGATAATAAGTCTTGGGCTTGAGATTTCTCAGTCAAATTTGTCAGATATATTAATATCAGCCAATTGGCTGATATGATTGGTTGATGTTAGGAATGTCAAGGGACCTATGCCATTCAAACTTCTATCCAAGATTTCCTTTACTGCTTCACGTAAGTACTAATTTTGCTTTTGCTTGCATGTTAAGTGCATGCTTTGCACATATTGGACAAGAGGTGAAGTCGTCGAAACAGAATTGCCTGCTTATTCATCCGGAAGAAGATTTGGAATATTAGTCTCAATCAGCCTTAATAAAAATAAATAAATAAATAAATAAATAAATATATATATATATATATATATATTATTATTATTATTATTATTATTATTATTAACTGCCTCACACAGTCTCTCTGTGAACATATATAGTTACGTGCTGTACTGAGAGTTATTCTGTACTTTTCCAGAATCTGATTTCTTTTTTCCATAATTGTTTTTAACTCCATAATTCTGCTACTTAAGCATTAATTATTATTTTGATACATATTATGCTAGTCATGGGTCTCTCATTTATGTTTCTTTGAATCTTATTGTGATGGGTGGGTTTGCTATCTGTAGAAACAAATGTTCGCTACTGGCATCAATGGCCAGTTCTTTACTGAAACAACGAAATATGATGAAAACTTCCTACTTGTTACCACTATATACTCGGCCCAAATTAGATGCATGATACACGAATAGCATGGTGCTCCCTTTTAATGAACCGTGAAATCTAGTCAGCTCTAGCTATTAGATTTCAATATCAAAATATGACTTGATAAAAAAGAATTCAGGCGAAACTGTTTTAGTTGCTTGTCATGCAGGCAGATGAAGATCAAGTTGGCGAAGATGAAAGATGGGACCCTGAATCTGACATGGATATTGATAATCAACGGTACCATTAGTTCATTCCCTATCTTCTTCATCATTTTTTTTTTTTTCAATTATTATATCTAATTGCATGTGTGTTTTTTATGTTCACATAGTAGGCCTTTGCCTAGCAGAGTAAAGACAGAATTTCTTGAACCTGAAGCAAAAGATGTGGTATTTGTTACTCTTCCTTTTATTTTGTGTTTCTAACAAATAGTTAGTTTACTTCAAATTGCAAGAGTATTTGTAGTGACCATAAATGTTTTCTGTTAGCGAATCATACACTTCTTTTCTCGAAGATAAAATGAAATTTCCATTCTCTTACCTGTTTGCTTCAACTTCAATTTCTGCGTCCAGTTTCTGATTTATCATCATCTGCAGAAATTGTCGTTTGGAATTTGCACAAGAACTTCATCGACTTCATTATGTTAATAGGAATGAGTTTCATGATTTACTCAGAATATAAGGGATCGTGTTGACGTAAAGATTGATTAATTTTAGATGTTAAATCATGTTTATCTATAAATATTTAAGGAGGATGTATTGCGAATTACTAGAGTAGGTTCGATAAGTTGGCTCTCTATGACTGAAATATAACTACCAAGTTAAAAGGCGAATTCTATGAAGCAGCAAGACTGGCTGTGCGCTATTGTACCAAGTGTTGGGCCATTATTTTTAGAAGTTTCATGAAGTTCAAACTTCAAAAATTTATACTATTTTGCTGTCACAAAATATTTTTGTAGTATCTTAAAAAATCGAAGTTAAAAGGTCATCTGAAGAAAATGTCATGTCCCTTTCATGTGTTACAAGATGCTTAATGGCACCCAGAAAAAATCAAATCCTCAAGATTCGAAAGACATACTTGTGTCCTTGAAACAGGAAATTTCACTTTGTGGCTCCTGTTTTGTTGTTTACAGGGCGACAACATGAAAGAAGATGAACATAACAGGGAAGCAGAAAGCAGGCATTCTCAGGGACCTCTTGCTTAAAGGTGTAGCTTTATGTGTGATTTTGCAAAAGTCTTTTTCAGGGCGACAACGTGAAATAAGATGAACGTAACAGAGAAGCAGAACGTGGACATTCTCAGGGACCTCTTGCATAGAGGTGTTGCTTTATGTGCGACTTCGCAAGTCTTTCGCCCCCTTAGCATTTCATGAGGGTAAAAATTTAATTTCCGTAAGTCTACGAGGAGTTGGAAAACTGAATTTGGATTGCAAACCCAGAGAAGATATTTTTATTTTATGTATGTGTTATCAAGCCTGTTGGTGAGGACAAAATGTTGTATGGGTGAATTTATTTGAATTTTAGCAACATTCGAATTGTCTCAATCTCTTTTTCTTCCACTTCAACTCTGTGTTTCCAATTATTTCACTTTTAATATTAAGGGTCTGTTTGATTGGGAAGATGGAATTTGGGTGGAAAGAAAATGAATTTCAGGGAATTGAATTCCCTAGAAATTGTTTTTCAGGGAATTGTAAATTATTATGTTTGATTGGTATAATTTTTCACGTAGAAAATGTTGAAGTAAATGTGTTTTTTGGTGTTCGTTTAGCTTTGTTTTACATGAAAATTGTCAATTTGAGGGATATCTACTTCTATCATTGTTCCTAGAATTTGTTTTCATTGCCAACAAAAAAAAGAGAAAAAAATCATTTATATTTTGGTGTTCGTTTGACTTTGTTTTATATGAAAATTGTCAATTTCAGGGATATCATCTTTTACAATTGTTCCTAGAATTTGTTCTCATTGTCAACAATTAAAAAAAAAGGACAAAAAGCAAAAAAAAAAGTTGGAAAATCAAAAATCACCTATCCCTTAGGAAAATAAAAGGTGGGAAATCATTCTTTAAAGTGTTGTACTTATAAATTCATGAAAAATCAATTTTCTGAAAAATTTTGTCAATCAAACAGGTCAAAAGTGAAAGTTGGAATTCGAATTTCAAGTTCTATGGAAAATTTCGTGCAATCAAATGAAGCCTAAGTGTATACCGTGTGGTTTTAATTTATTTATATTTTTCTTTCTTTAAGTGATATTTGAACAATTACAATTTCTAAAAATTTTGTGAAACAATGTTTTTAATGGGTTAATTATATGAATGGTCATTGAACTTTACTCTATGTTACTACTTAGTCATTGAACTTAAAAACGTAACTCAATGGTCATTGAACTTTGCCAAATGTTACTACTTTATAACCGAATTTTAAAATGTATCTCAATGGTCATCAAATTTTGCACCGTGTTATCCATTCGTTACTCAAATGGAAAAATTCGTTAAGTCCAACAAACGGCGTCAACTTGAATGACGGATGGGTAATGCGGTGCAAAGTTTGTTGACTATTGAAATATATTTTAAAGTTCGATTATGAAGTAGTAACACTTGACGAAGTTTAGTGACCATTGAGTTACGTTTTTAAGTTCGATTATGAAGTAGTAATACTTGGCAAAGTTCAGTGACCATTAAGATATATTTTTAAATTGAATTATTAAGCCCTTGTTTGAGTCTCATTCTTTCAAAAAAAATAATAATAAATAAATATATATAATGATTTGATATTATTCAATCACTCATTCTTCAATAAAATAATATTACACGTAAATCGAAATCTTTTCTTTATTTTTTAGTTACACATTTTTCATCAATATATTATTAAAAAAATTCATTTTATCTCTTAGAATGGGGATCAAACAAGGGCTAAACTTCTCAAATCGACTTCTATGAAAGAAGAAATCAAAGAAAATGAAGGAGAAAAAGAGGTAACAGAAAATCAGAGACCTATAAATTAAATAAAAATAGAATTGCTACTAATATTCATCTATTACGGTGAAAAAGTATATTTGATTTTTAGATCAATTGGTATCAGTTCACCGTATCTCAAACTCCACATAAATAGATTGAAAGAGAAGGAGTTGGAACACTAAAAGAAACTGACAATGAAAAATTAAATAAAAGTACAAAAATGTTCGAATAGTGCTAATGTAATTGAGGTCGTTTTGATTTTTCAACTATGTTTCTATTTAGTCACTGAACTTAAAAAACGTAACTCAATGGTCACTAAATTTCGTCAAGTGTTACTACTTCATAACTGAACTTTTAAATGTATCTCAATGGTCACCAAACTTTGCACCGTGTTACCCATCCGTCACTTAAGTTGACGTCGTTTGTTGGACTTAACGGATTTTTTCATTTGAGTGATGGATGGATAACATTGTGTAAAGTTTGATGACCATTGAGATACATTTTAAAGTTCGGTTATGAAGTAGTAACACTTGATGAAGTTCAGTGACCATTGAGTTACGTTTTTAAGTTCAGTGACTAAGTAGTAACATAGGGCAAAGTTCAATGACCATTCATATAATTAAACCTATTTTTAATTCAATAAGTGAAAAGAAAAACAAAAATAGATGTAAGTAGGCAATTGAGATTGTTGATAAATCTGTGACATTATACAGAATATAAGTGAAAATATCCTGATAGCCGCAAGAAAGCACCTAAAAAGTTAATAATAATTATCAGAAGTTATTAATTGCAAATATGCGAGTTTTGGGGTCAAATTGTAATATTTTGGTCTTTAGGGACTTAAGTGTAAACTGAAAAGTTAAGCTCTTGACTTGTACAATTGTGAAGTTCCCTTGGCACGGTTTTGCATTCTTATATGCTTTTTGTATGAAAGTTTCTTGAGAGTTATCTTAAGTTTGCTCTCTTCAAAAAAAAAAAAATTAAAAAATTAAAAAAAAAAATCTAGTCAGATATAATATTTTTAGAAAATTATTCAATCATATTAGAAATAACTAGAAATTATTTTTGACTTTTTAAAAGTTCTACCAAACAGGCTCCATATGTCATCCTGATGCAATTATTGATCCTCATGATCAATTGCTAGAAAACTGGTTAGGACCTCATTTAGAGTAATTTGGGAATGTATTGTAAGTTTAAAAAGTTCAACAATGTTCAATTTTATTTATTTTCTTATTACTTTTGGCAATATCAAGATGTTATTAGTGTTAGTAAAACATATATTGGCTATATTTTTGGACTCCTAAATTTCTGGACATTTTTGGTTTAGGTAAAATTATCATTTCGGTTTGAGTATGACACAACTAGCCAACTTCACCATTTTTTTTATTATAAATGGGACAAGAGTTAAACTACTTTGCCAGAATGGTTGACATCCTCTCACATGTGCGTAATTCCAGTGTAAATAAGAAAGTCCAAAAAAGAAGTGGGCCTCCTCCCATTGTAAGTGTCGATCAATCATTATGTCAAAAAATTCGAGCAACATAGCATGATTGATGGGATAAAGCTCAATGTGCAGGGAAATTGGCTGCTGTAGGAAATTTGGGAAAGATTTCCTATAAGTGTAGTATAAATGCCATGGCCCATATCTACAAAATTGCACTATATTAAAAATAAATTTTAACCAAAAGCAACTTGCAACGAAAGTGAATAGTCGAGGATCAATGATCTCTTCATGACCAAATAATGCAGTTTTCCCAAAATTTACTTGAAGAGTAAATCAAGTATTCTTCGTCTCATTTTGAGTTTAAACTCGTCCTTTAAAAACTCGACTATTTTTTCCATCATCCACGAGAGAGAAAAATAACTAATTAAAAGTCTATCGTCTTGTGTCAACTGCGATTTTAACGAAATGGAAAACAGCGACTCTATATTTTAACTCTATTATGTGTTTCAGCTTTTAATTGTAATCTCTCTCTTTTATTGGATTCTTCTCATATGCATTTTTCGCTTCATTATAAACATAAAAAGAGTGCGAGAGAGTCAGAGAGCTGCAAAGGGGTGGTAAGGTTTGTCTTCAGTCTCTCTAGTTCCAATGTTACATTTTCTGGTTCTTCGTTGATAATAAAACCCCATTTGTTCTTGAAGAGAGAGAGAGAGAGAGGATGAGACTAATCCTGTCACTCAAAACCAAGTTGCTAAAACTCAGCTAGTTCAAAAATCATCATATAATAATCTAGAAATTGCAATAGAAAAGAAATAAGGGAGGTTTGTGATGATTTTTCAATCTTTTCTACTAGGTAATCTAGTATCCTTATGCATGAAGATAATCAATTCACTCCTGCCAAGTGACATGTCAGGCCCAGGACATCCTCTTGTATCTGAGAAAATTTCCAGATTAATAGGAAGGATTTATTAGTAGATTAATAGATCACTTCGGAATGGCATATACATCACACATCCGGTTTTCGGTGCTTGGGTGATTGGTGGTGATGGAATCCTTCTTCTGCTCACCAGGATTCATTTAAGGCTCCATCCGAATCAAGGAGAAGGTTCGAAAACATATTGAGAGAGAGTGAAATATCCCCGGAAACATTATATACTTTAGCAGCCATGTGCCATGTATTCAAGAAATTTTCCGCCCTTGTTTTCTCAGGAACTAAATAATGAATTGCAAATATCAATTCAATCAAGAAATGTTGTAGTTGCAGGAAGCCGTTGTAACTGGGTATTAGTTGAAACGGACTCGAGTTGGTGCTGCTAACAGACAAGCACTTGGCTAGGTTACCTCCAACAAATGTGCAATACCTGGATGTTGACCTTTCATATGTAACAGATCTAGCCTGTTCCACTTCTCTGTATGCTTCAAATGAGGTGACCATTCTTTGATAATAGTTTATATTAAGGCCCGTGTAAGATTATGTGGATCAACTTCCTAACCTGTCTGAGATTTTCTTCCTTCGATGTTGGATGTTGACCTTTCGTATGTATGTGATTAGAATTATTCTAATTGTACAATCAAATTTTACAACTTGGTTGACAACTAATGAGGTGTGGGGATCCTCACCATTGATTAAAAAAACAGTTTTTAAAATGTATGGTGTGGATATGTGCCAACTCATTCATTATAAACCAAGTTGTTACTTGGATTGTACACCTAGCACACTTCGTGTGATTAGGTTCAATGTGAGGCCTTCTGTTTGCAATCCAACATTCTCGTTCATCGAGTTCTTGTATTTCCATGACTATGAACGTGAACAAATTAGGATAAAGGCAGTCCAATTCTCTAGGAAGAGAGAAAGTGCAACTACCTGTTGGTTTTTTGTCTTGAACAACTTTCATGACTGAATAGTGTAGCTGGGTAGCTGATCCCAACATGACACAATTCTTGGTATCTTTACTCCTTGTTCAATAATGTTTATCAATTCTGTTTCATCTGAGGCTCCCTAATGCAGAACGAGTGAGAGAAACAGAGACGAGTAGAGATTATGATGCTCGGATTTGGGTACGTATCCAAGTAATGAATCTTTTATTTTCATAGGAATATGACTAAAAACAATCTAAATTTCGAACATTCAAACTTCAAGTTTTTATTAACACAAAATGTCATTTTGAATAGATCAAAATCAATTGTCCACAAAGAATGATTTATTTTACAATTAAAAATATTTAAAGATTAAGACGAATAAAATAGAATTTTGGAATTTAATTTTTAATTATAAGAAGTTAATTACTAAATATTATATAAAATATGGGGGCTTGATTGCAATTTGTCCATTTTCATTTTATACAAACAATCACGCTACTTGGCCTGGGGAATAGAAACATGGGAAATCCGGGTTGATGTGGCATTTGAAAAATACGAAAAGGCCGAAAACTGCTTTTGAAAATTAATCAAATTCATTTCTATATTTCCTCAAAATTTCAAAATGCCCACAGTCGAAACCCTCCTCAGTTCAATTGAAGGGTCGTCACTACATGCCTCACCATCCCCAGCCACTCACCATCTCCGGCCACCATTGGAACTCGCAAGCAGTCCCCAAATATTTGAATCGACTGTGGCACTGGCGGATCCAACACCCGGCGAGCCCCCGCGGTCGCGCGTGCTGAATCCGCCGGGAGTCTTTTTTTTTTTTCGGACTCGAGTTGGTGCTGCTAACAGACAAGCACTTGGCTAGGTTACCTCCAACAAATGTGCAATACCTGGATGTTGACCTTTCATATGTAACAGATCTAGCCTGTTCCACTTCTCTGTATGCTTCAAATGAGGTGACCATTCTTTGATAATAGTTTATATTAAGGCCCGTGTAAGATTATGTGGATCAACTTCCTAACCTGTCCGAGATTTTCTTCCTTCGATGTTGGATGTTGACCTTTCGTATGTATGTGATTAGAATTATTCTAATTGTACAATCAAATTTTACAACTTGGTTGACAACTAATGAGGTGTGGGGATCCTCACCATTGATTAAAAAAACAGTTTTTAAAATGTATGGTGTGGATATGTGCCAACTCATTCATTATAAACCAAGTTGTTACTTGGATTGTACACCTAGCACACTTCGTGTGATTAGGTTCAATGTGAGGCCTTCTGTTTGCAATCCAACATTCTCGTTCATCGAGTTCTTGTATTTCCATGACTATGAACGTGAACAAATTAGGATAAAGGCAGTCCAATTCTCTAGGAAGAGAGAAAGTGCAACTACCTGTTGGTTTTTTGTCTTGAACAACTTTCATGACTGAATATTACAGCTGGGTAGCTGATCCCAACATGACACAATTCTTGGTATCTTTACTCCTTGTTCAATAATGTTTATCAATTCTGTTTCATCTGAGGCTCCCTAATGCAGAACGAGTGAGAGAAACAGAGATGAGTAGAGATTATGATGCTCGGATTTGGGTACGTATCCAAGTAATGAATCTTTTATTTTCATAGGAATATGACTAAAAACAATCTAAATTTCGAACATTCAAACTTAAAGTTTTTATTAACACAAAATGTCATTTTGAATAGATCAAAATCAATTGTCCACAAAGAATGATTTATTTTACAATTAAAAATATTTAAAGATTAAGACGAATAAAATAGAATTTTGGAATTTAGTTTTTAATTATAAGAAGTTAATTACTAAATATTATATAAAATATGGGGGCTTGATTGCAATTTGTCCATTTTCATTTTATACAAACAATCACGCTACTTGGCCAGGGGAATAGAAACATGGGAAATCCGGGTTGATGTGGCATTTGAAAAATACGAAAAGGCCGAAAACTGCTTTTGAAAATTAATCAAATTCATTTCTATATTTCCTCAAAATTTCAAAATGCCCACAGTCGAAACCCTCCTCAGTTCAATTGAAGGGTCGTCACTACATGCCTCACCATCCCCAGCCACTCACCATCTCCGGCCACCATTGGAACTCGCAAGCAGTCCCCAAATATTTGAATCGACTGTGGCACTGGCGGATCCAACACCCGGCGAGCCCCCGCGGTCGCGCGTGCTGAATCCGCCGGGAGTCTTTTTTTTTTTTGGCTGAGGATTGACAAATATATAGGATATATTACTGTTATGTTACTTTCATTTTAGCCGTTCCTTGCAGCTGAGTTGGTCAACACTTACATTTGTTTATTTTACGTCCCGGGTTCGAATCTGTCCACCATTTATTGTATAAATTTTTAGTTATACAATTTTCACCAAAAGCCATTGAAATCCATTGAAATAAGGAAAGGGTTAATGGGGAATTGAACCTATGACCTATTCTAAGATATAATGAAAGCTTGACCATTATGACATTTGATGAGTTGTGGTATAGAGTTTAACAAAATAATATATGTAAGATTTTAGTGGTTTTAATAAAATTATAAAAATTTTAATACCGTACTCTTCCTTTGAATTATATAAAACAATAATGTTATTTGGTGAGTACGATTTATTCTTATAACAAAATTATATATGTTCAACTTCAATAAAATAATTATTTTATTTAAATTTTAAGCTTTGTTTGATTTCCATTTAGTTCAGAATATATTTTTCTTTCCCTTATTTTCAATCAAACATTATTTAATAAAATAATATTACACGTAAATTCAAAATTTTTTATTATTTTTAACTACACATTCTCCATTAAATCACTATTCCAAAATACTTTTTTTTTCTTTTTTGCAAAAAATGACAACAAACAAGCCTTTAATATTTTATTACGGTCGTCCGTGCTGGCTCAACATCCTGGATTCGTCCCTGGACTGTGGTACCCAGCGAAGCACAACGGTGGTCTGTGAAGGACATCATTTCCCCAAACCATCGCCATGTTATCACTTTCGGAACCATGCTCGTCTGTAAATCCATTTCCATTTCTTTGTTGTGCTCCGGTTGAGAGGGAAGCTGCCGACGGGCAAAGGTGATCTAATTTTGTCCAGCAGCCCACAGTGAGTAACCCACCACTTTTGTTTGGTGTTGGCTTTAATGATTTTATGGAAAGTCTTTTTAATGGTTTTCTTGTTGTTTCAAATGACTTGCAGTTTGAATCTTTAGTGTTTGGTTTTCGTTTGCTAGTGTTCGGTGCCGTGTGTTTCAGTTGTGCTGTGGTTGCATTTGTAGTTTATCCTTTGCAGCTTCTGATGCTTTATTTTCTTTCTTTGTAGTTTAGAATGGTAAAAAGGAACTCCGAAATCTGTCATACTTGTAGAGCTAATATGAAGACATTTTACATTAGGGATCACATTCAAATTTAAAAAAAAAAAGCAATGAAATTTTTTTTATTACTTTATATGGGTTATAAACTTTCATACTACTTTTTTATATTGATTATTTTTACATCTAAAAAATTTATAAATATATAAAAAAATTTGATCATTTTTAGGATTTTTTTATTATTGTTACTTTTTCCTCTCAATCAATTAATTTTTTTTAAAAATAATATAATAAATTTCCTAATAAAATTTTTGACGTCATTTGAAAAAAAATTAATTGATTGAGAGGAAAATGTAATAATAATTAAAAAAATCCTAAAAATGATTGAATTTTTTATATATATAAATTTTTTTCAGATATAAAAATAATTAAGATGAAAAAATAGTATAACAATTTATAACCCCTACGAAGTAATAAAAATTTTATTAAGAATTTTTACGTCCAAAAAAAAAAAAAATTTGACGTCATACCACTTATAAAATTTTCTAATAAAATAATGTAAATTATATTGATAAATTTTTTGCGCAAAAATAATAAACATTAATAAAATAATTGATTTTTATTTTTTTCAAAAAAGACGAGTTATATGTCTTTTTTTAGCATGCACGTTTGACGTACATTAATTATTTTCGATATTCATTTAGATCATTCGATATATTTATGATATAGTTCTCGAAATGAGTTTCGAGAGGATATAGAAGATTTATGGATATGGCTAGTGCATAATCGTCGAAATTATTTTAAAGTTAGCTTGTTATCAAAATTCTCGAAATATTAGTTTGGAAACTACCTATCTTGACGTGTCATAACATTTGTTACGATTAGCCATTTCGCATAACATTAACGACGAGAAAATACCAGGTCGTGAGTACTTCAAAATGATATTAAGAATGTAATATTTCAATTTCGTTTAATATTTCATAGTGAGCTCGAAAACAAAGACGACGACGAAAAAAAAAAAAAAGGACCATAAGCGACCCCCCTTGGGTCCGCCCCTGGCTAATACCGACTTCTTCAACAACTGCCCAAGGAAATGCCATGCCCGTCACGTAAGCATGGATCTAAGAAATCTTTTGTGGTGGATAAGGAGACTGTCAATAAAGGCAAATTATTCATTTGCTGCAGTAACAATTGTAAATTTTGGGATTGGATTGTTAAAGAAAAATCAAGCGGTGCATCTAGTCATGTTAGCGCTCCATTTGTTAACCCTGTACGAACAAAATAGTTGATGAAATGTCCCGCGTTCTTGAATCTCGAATTCGGCTAATTGACCAAGAAGAGCTCATGATTTCGATGGACGTAACAATTCGAATGAACAAAGTAAGCACGGTACAAAATGCAAAAGGGAAACGGCCTTCTTGATTAGTAGATATTATTGAAAACTTTTGTTGAAGTTATCATATTTAATTGATAAACTATGTCTGTGTATTGAGCTTGAATTTTCACCCTTTTGTTGTAATCTAGATGGTTATATCTAATGCAATGATGAGTTCTCTATTATTACAAATCTCTACTTAACTAGCCATTTAGCTTTGTATTCTATTGATTCTCATTATGAACTGAGCAGGGCTAGTGTTTTTGAAATCTCTAGCCAACTTTCTTGCAAGAGATCTTTTCTTAACATCAAGCGTGTTGGGACTAGATAGAAATGAGAACTCCAACAATTTCTTGTGATTGCATTTGCAAACTTTAGAATCCATTTAGAGTGGAAATGCATAGGTAGATAGACAAGAGATACGCAAAGTAGCATATTCCAACAAGAAGCAAGAATAAGAAATCATAACACAGATAAAAATTAAGAGGGTGACATTCTCTATTTTCATATATAATGTAAAGAAATATGGAGGCAAGTCTACTACATGTAATTTACAAATTACCTTCTAATCAAAAAAATAGGACTACATCTTTAGAGACCTATTCATAACAAAAAGCAGATGTCCTTGACACAGAAAAAACAAAATTGAAGCACCATCATCCATACAATATTTGGTCCAGCAACAATGACAAAAAATAGGCAAATATGTATTGCTTCCAATTCTAGCAATAAATCGCTTGGTTTAGGACTTGCTTTATGCTTTGCCAAGTTAACGAAGGCCTCCATAGCTACAAAACAATAGACCAGTTGCTATGGGATTAGACCAACAAATGTAACATCAATAAACCCAACAATAATTCAATAGTATGAATGATAATCTGTCATGACAACACAAAGGAGACGATACTTGCTGTCAGTGTTAATTGAACATTACTGGATGCACGTCCAACTTCACAAGCCAAAGCCTTCTTAGTCCGGTAAGTTTTAATTCGAGTACGTCATCGTTACTTGCTTTATGCTTTGCCAAGTTAACGAAGGCCTCCATAGCTACAAAACAATGGACCAGTTGCTATGGGATTAATTTGATAAGTATTGGTTAACTCAATCATGTAGACCAACAAATGTAACATCAATAAACCCAACAATAATTCAATAGTATGAATGATATTTAATCTGTCATGACAACACAGAGATGATACTTGCTGTGAGTGTTAATTGAACATTACTGGATGCACGTCCAACTTCACAAGCCAAAGCCATCTTAATCCGGTAAGTTTTAATTCCAGTATGTCATCGCTCGACCTACATTATAATACAGTATAGAAAATTAAAGGTATTGAAACGATAGATTGAAGTTGAAGTTCATATATCGACTAATGTGAATACCTTGCAAATTGTATATAACATTTGTCAAGGACGAAGGGATGAAATATGAAGACGGTAATTATTGTGAAAGAGAAAATTGTGTAGGGATGGCATATTGTGAAAGTGGGAATTGTGATGACGTGAAATAAGGTAGTTGTTGAGCCGGCTCAAAGTTGTTTGTGCCCTTTTGCATATTACTCTGCTTCAATTTAGTTCTCTTCGCTATTGTTGATGTCGAAAATCAGAATAAATGTACTTCACATTAGTTGCAGATTAGGGGCAAACATTTGAACATACCTTCGATTTCTTCTAAGTTGAATCCAATGGGCTTTTCCTCCAAAGTTTCTTCGACACGCCCTTTCTGCGAGTAGATTTTGGATCCAGTATGCTCACGCTCGATGTATTTTGTAAATAAGTACAATGACTGGGCACTTGAAAAGCATGCGGCAAAACTTGATTACTACCGCTACTTGACTTTGCACTAATAAGTAGGCAACATTGATTTTTTATCCAATCCATTATCGAGCGTGACCACCGTTCATCATCTGCAGCAAGGTCAGCCATCTGTCCAAAAGCTTGGCACATATTATCGTATCTCAACTGTCAGAAGTGGTAACTAAGCCATCATAGTTCACTGCGACCCTCGTGTGCGCTCTATTAACGTCTCTCCTCCATGTCCACAGTATATACTTCTTCGACAGCCATGTCACATCATTGCGGATCATACTGCGATCACATGTCCACATATTATTCCTCGAAACTCGAATAAGTGATAAATGAAAATAATATCACATTTCTCTTTCTGAAATGAGACGAAGAATTTTTTTCCTCCAACAACCCTCAAAAGTAACAACCTCCCGTACCTCATGCGTCGTCCCCAAACATCTCTCAGCAGTAGATATGATGTCACAATAAACCTTCCTCGTGAACTCAATCTCAACCTCTCTGAATTTTGAAATTGTGTAGACTAATTGAAACTGCTTCTCCATTTCAAATTCTGTTGCACAAAGTACCATTTCAGATAATGACTTGAAATCGGCTTAGAACTCCTTCTCGACCTTATTCCTTGGTGCACCTTCATACCGTTCAACAAATTGTTTGCGGAGCTCGACTGTGTATACACTGAAAACCATGTCCTGAACAATCAGACAAAAGAATTTGTGTCTTCATTCGATAGTAAACCACAAAACCAAGTAGTGTTGATTATCCATGATGATTCACGCCAACAAAAGGAGCGAACGCATGTTGTACTTTTTGGTGAGATAAGTGGTATCAAATGTAACGATTTCGTCGAACTTCTTATACGATTGTCTACACCAATTATCTAGCTAAAATACATTTTTCAGTCATAAATCATCGTACAAATCCATATTGAAATAAAAGCCCAATCATTGCGCTTGCATTTTTGAAAAATAGGATTGTATTATTACAACATCTCATTCGCCAAGCAAGTTCTATGGATATTGAATATGCAGATATCTTAGCTTTACAATCCATCTGAATTGTTGGTTGCAGCTTCAAAGAACCGCCAATGTCACCACTCTTTCATCCTTCACGACTACATGTCAAAGTTACATACCGCAAAACTCCATTCTCATCCTTTATTGAATTCCTTTTCTTTACTGGAAAACCTACCGTATAAGTATACTTTTTGTACAACTGATACGTCTCTTTCTCATCTTTGAATAGCATATCCACCTCCAGGACAATTACACCATCTTCTCCTAAAGTTTTTCCTTCCACTATGTTCACGATTTTCATAACATTCTCATTATCTGATTTCCCAAACTTACATCATCATGCGTTTTTCCTTCCTTTATGTTCATGGTTTTCGTTACGTTCTCATTATCAAAATCTACCAAAACATTGTCATACGTTTTTCCTTCCATTGTGTTCACAATTTCTATAACTTTCTCACTATCAGATTCCACTAAAATATCACAACACTCGTCTTACACATTGTCCATAATTTCTTCTACTGCAATAAAAATATTGGTCACGTTTAGCACCACATGAACACAATAGTATACTTTCAATTCGTAACATTTGATGGAAAATAAGTAATTTTAAATGTTAACATGGTAATAACTAAAGCCAGTTGTAAATGAAATGCAATATCACATTCATGAAAAAACAGAATTTCGCCAGTTCTTGTTTGCTAAAATTCATTAAGCGTACTTACAAATGTGCAGCTCATTCATGAAAATTCATTTTGCCAATTGCAGTTTACTAAACAAAATTACACATAAGTATGTCAAGCCACAAGTGATAACACCTTTGTGGATATGAAACCCAATTAAACCACTAAAAATGACTCTATCCTTTATTAAATAACAATGTTTTGAAAATCGACCCAAAAAAGCTCACAGGTCAAGGGTCAAAACATTCAACCAGGATCAAATCGGGGTCGAACCGGATGCAATAACTTTCATACTACTAATTCAAAGTTAACACAAATTTATTTTGGCTAATCAAAATTGAAATCGCATAAGCTTATAGAAAATGATGTATAACATTATTATGTTAATAATGAAGTGATTTTTAAGTTAAATCTGAAAATTGAATAAATAAAAAGATTGAGGTGAAATTTTCTATTTACTTTTTGTTGAGCTCAAAATCAAAGTAAAATTGAAGTTAAACATGCAAATACGGAAAATAGGTAATATGGGCAAATGAAAAGGAATCCCACATCGGAAGTTGCTAAAATATTTTGAAGAAATTACATCTATAAATATGCTGGCAATCCAAATTATGCTATGGGTCTTTCAATTCACTGCATAGCCCAATAGTTAAGTTAGAAACTTTGAATTTAAAAACTTCAAAAAAAAATTTAAAAATGGAAAATCGTATAAAAGCTTCAAAAAATTTTGGAAAGCGACAACCGGTTCACAGGTTAGTTTTAAACTGGCTGGTTTAGTGATTTTTCAAAACGATTTTCTTGTATCTGGTTATTAACATATAACTGACCCGATTTTAGGCCCGGTTTTCAATTTTACTGATTGAACCAGGCCGACTGGTTGGATCAATTTTAATAACATTGTTAAATAGTAATAATGCCGATTCTTAGGACATATATTTGTTAAATTTCAATATAAAAAGACAAAAATAGCTAAATTTCATTTTCAATAGAAATCTCATACAATCGAAGTTTAAAGACCAAGTAATTAGCTTCCTAAGCAACATTACAGCATAAAGCTAAAGTCTCATTTTGGACAACAGCGACAATCATCTAACTTTACGGTATATAACAAGCCGCAGTTTGCTAAACAAAATTATAAATATGTCAAGCCACAAGAGTGATGATACCTATAGGGATTTGGGGAAAGTGGAGCTTTACTCTTCTTCGCTATGTGTAGTAGCCTCTAAAACGTCTGGTCGAAGATGACTTGAACGCGATAATGAGGCGCAAATTAAGAATGAGGAGTGGATGAGCTCACATAGATTGGCCGAAATTTGACGAGATCGGAGTGACCATTGCTGGGCGTTGATGGTCAGGACTTAGGGGTGTAATGGTTTTCAATCAAGCAAGTCAACTTTTTTTCCCTCCTTATTCCAGTGTCACGTCGATTGTTTTTAAAATCCTGTCACCAAATGTTGTCACTTAGCCATAGGGATGGCAATGGATCGAGTCGAGTCAGCTCGACCCTTTAATCCACGAGCTCTGCTCTCGCTCGTGGCGAGCTCGTGAGTTCACGAGCTACCCGCTAGTGGGTCGAGTGGAGCCCATGAACAGCTCGCAAACTCGTAATTTTTTTAATTTTTTTGTAAATTTGCACATTTTTTACGAGCCCACGTGAGCGGCTCATGGGCTTCGTGAACTTTGGATCGTGGGCACACATCCCACGAGCCGCTCAAGGGCTTAACGAGTCGAGCAGGCTCGGCTCGTGGGATTGAGCCCCTGCTCGGCTTGGGTTCGTCATTTGATGGGCCTGAGCCGACGAGCAACTCGATCCATTTGACATCCCTACTCAGCCTTATCCATTTAGATTAATTGTTACAGAAACAGGAAAAAAAAAAAGAAGGTAAAGGGGAAAAGAGAGAAGAAATAATAAGAAGGAAGAAGAAAATGTAGGTGGAAAGCCTAGCGCTGAACCTCTCGATGCAACCCTATTGGGGACGACCTTAGGTAGAAAACTTAGCATTGCTGCCTCGACCGGTGGACTCCACCACTATGGCTCCTCATCGATCACCTCTTGACCATTAGTCTCTGAATTGGGCCCACGTCTCGCCATTTAGCCCCTGTTTGGCCCTCATTAAATTATTTTCCATTACATTCTATTTTTCTCTCTCATATTTTCAACCACACAATCTTCCATAAAATAATATTACACGTAAATCGAAAATTTTTCCTTTTTTTTCAACCACTCATTTTTTCAACAAAACACTATTTCTCGCATTTTTATTACTAAAAATGGGGGTCAAACGGGGGTTTAGACTCAACTCCTTCAAGTAGCTCCAGATCCCATGGCTGCTACAAATCTTGTCGTGTCCAGTTGAAAAGCACCATGACTGTCTTTGAAAGAAGATAAGGAATGATGGGAGAGAGAGAGAGAGAGAGGAACTTCTTAATCCAAGAGAGTAAAATTAAAACGCATTTCAACTGTACGAAATATAGAAATGTTTGTAGCATTGATAATGCTAGGGCTGTCTCAAAGTAGTCTTGTGTATTGTTGGGAAGTTTAGTCGTTCAACTTAATTTGGTTAATCATTCTAAAGATATTGTTATGCCTATAAATTACCATCCTTTAGTAGGCCATCTTATTGGACATGAGCGAGGCCCATTAGAGTTGGGCCCCAAAGTCGAGGCTCTAAAGAGGGCAGTCGAAGTGCCACCGAGGCCCTAAGAAGTCTAGTCAAAGCGCCTAACGAGGTGCCTATTATTATACTTATATAATCACTTCCTTATTGGGCTCGAACTTAGGCCCACTAATCCATTTGGCCCATTTCACTCACATTTCTCTATATATATGTATCTATTCACACAATTAAGGCATGTCTTAACTCTCTAGCCAAATCCCCCATTTTCACACTATTGTACTCTATATATATTGTCTGACCGTTCACTTGACCGTCGAAGTGCAAACGGCCATCGGACCTTTTCTCGATCGACGACTTTTGCCTCTTGACGAAGTGTTACGTGTGCAGGTTTGGAGGGGACGAGGTCGGACATTTGTTGGTGCCATTTTTGAAGGTTAACAGATATGTTTGGTTGGAAGTTGATGATTGCAGAATGAATGTTAGCCCTTGATTAACAATGATTTTAACAAAATCATTTATTTCTTAAATTCATTTTCAACAATACATTCTCATGATAAGAATATTCTACGAGTAAAATCTCATTTTCATACCTTTAATCACGCATTCTTAAAAAAGAAAAAAAGAAAAAAGAACCATTCCAAACTCATTTTCCCTAATAATGAAAAAAAAAAGACTTAATTCAATGACTGCCAAACGAGGATTTACTGAAAAGAATAATGTTATTTAACACCAGTTTATGTAGCATTTATGTGGCATTAAATGATAAATCTAATGAAATGTGTTATTATGAGATTCATTTAATTGGATTTATGATGTGTTGTCCATGACTAGTGTTTAACACCAATTGTGATGAATAGCACTACTCTATTGAGAAACAGGAATCTATCTTAATTCCAATATTTTCTAAAATCAAGATTCTTGATTAATAAAAGAAATCTTATACTTTCAAGTTCCTTAATTTTATTTAAGATCCTCTTTCTAGAAAATATACAAATTTTGGATTCATTCAAGACTCTCATTCTTCAAATAGCCTCGCTTTTGAATTTCTTGATTTTCTTTATTATTCTCATTATAGAAAATCTACAAAATTTGGGATCCTTCACGTATCATTCTTCTAGTTCCACACTTTTGAATTCCTTAATTTTCTTTAGAAACCAACCTTGATTTTCCTTTAAAATTTTTGTCTATAGATTTGCATTATATTTTTTCTAGTTGCTAGTTTAAGATTAACCAATTCTTAGATAGGATGTGGATCCAACAAAGAATAATGTTATCTAACATTAGTGAATGTGGCATTATGTGATACATACAATTAAATGTGAAATTACGTGATTCACTTAATTATACATTTTATTTAATGACACTTAATGTCACTTGGACTGATATTGTAATACCAGTGGTACTAAATAGGATTACTTTCCAACAAAATATTCGAACCACTTACGTAATCTATTTATAAAATAATTCTTCCGCCGCCTACAGACGGTCCTACACTGGAAAAATGAAGATTCTTATTCTACATCAAAATTACTTTTTTCACTTTTTATATATCACGGGATTCCATTTGAAAGAAAATGTTTAATCCATCAATGCAGAGTTTATGTTCGAATTCAGTTAACATTATTTAAAAACTCATTAGGGTTAGGAGTCAAAGGGAATTCCTATTTGTCCAAATGGTACATATACCCAAAACTCCCATTGAAAAAAGAGAATTTAATACTCGGAAAACAAGAGTAACACTTAGTGTCACTTGGACTGATATTGTAATACCAGTGGTACTAAATATGATTACTTTCCAACAAAATATTCGAACCACTTACGTAATCTATTTATAAAATAATTCTTCCGCCGCCTACAGACGGTCCTACACTGGAAAAATGAAGATTCTTATTCTACATCAAAATTACTTTTTCACTTTTTATATATCACGGGATTCCATTTGAAAGAAAATGTTTAATCCATCAATGCAGAGTTTATGTTCGAATTCAGTTAACATTATTTAAAAACTCATTAGGGTTAGGAGTCGAAGGGAATTCCTATTTGTCCAAATGGTACATATACCCAAAACTCCCATTGAAAAAAGAGAATTTAATACTCGGAAAACAAGAGTTCCAACTTTCTCCAGGCCTTGAGGAAAAATTTTCTCAAACTCATTTTCCATCACACGTTATCTCCAATAAAAAAATTTCACATGTCAAATTTTTTTCTACCTTTTAACCACGGGTTTTTCAAAAAATTAGTACTAAAAAATTTATTTTTTCAAAAAATAAAGCTCAAATAAATCCTAACTTTAACCAACATTTACTTTTTGAGAGTTGTCCAGTGGAAAAAGTATAATTGAATCTAATCATCAAGTGACTATTTAAAGTTTGGTGACTAATTTTGTTAAGGACTCGCACTCCATTAGTTTATTTGGTCGTATCGATTGAATATATTTTTACTTTCTTTCAAATTCGTCCTTTTGGAAATTGTCAACTTCGTTGACTATTCAAAATATCGAACTGACGGACGACGACGCTTTATGTACTGAAATTCACAGTAAAATAATAACAATAATAATAAAACCCAATATTATCGCCACTTTTTTCACTCTCTGCTGTAAAATTTGACAGTAAAAAATTTTGATCTGTTAAGTCTTCAACTTTAGTCAACAAGCAAAATTAGCTTTTTTCTGTAAACACTTTTCTCGGCAATAACTTCTTTTCACACTCTTCTAAAACAATAATACATGTAGAATACATATCTTTATTTATGCTTTATTTGATAGTTGTCAAACAAACATAATAAAAAAGATAAGTTGAAAAAGATTTCTTGGACGAAGAAATGACCCAATTAGTGAGCCCAAGCTGGGCCCATCTTGGCCTATAACTTGTGTTGGATTGTGGTGGCCCCAATTTGTTCATGCTTCTTCCAAATGATGATCGATCAGAGAAGGGAAACGCACAAATATTTGAGAATAAAGTTGCATTCCTATTCTATTCTAAAGAAATAATAATAATAAGGTTTTACACAAAAAGAACCTTATAAGGACCTGCTAAAAAATGTCAAAAATTTCTACATATGATCTGAACCTTAGATTCTACAATTACCTCCTAAGACCGTAACCAACCTTTTACAACTCATCATCAGGCAGTTGAAAACATGTCTGAGTCGTAACTTTCCAGCTCTCCCCATGAACCATATGCATCAGCTCGGACCATTACTCAACATCATACGCTCGTCGCCCTTCACTGGTCAGTCAGTCGAGTTGATAAAGACATTCCGAGCCACTCTCTTCCTCCAAAGGCATCATATTTAAATCCGGTAGAATGAACCCTCCTTTGGATGTTCTCTCTTTGTTTTTTAATTTGCAGTAATGAGATGAAGACAGTTCAAATCTTGGACTCGGTCTTTGTTCACTTGTTGATGCCTCCATCTGGTTGTTGTATTGTTTGGCCTCTTCAAAAGTACCCAAAACACTAGCTGACTGTAGATTTAGATCCAACTGAAAAGAGGAAAATTCCTTATGTCACCCACCATCTTCCTCCAGGAATAATGAGAGCTTAATGTGATAATGGGAAGGTAAAATCGAGTTTTATATGAAGCCATACTTATGATATGGAATAGGCTAAAAGATTATGAATTAATTCATTGTACAAGAAGATTGTACAGGAAGCCTTACAAGGAGACATGTGGTAACACTGCATTAGCAGGGACAAAATTGTTTTTTGCCCAATGTCCAACGAAGGGTTGTCACCTGTCTCTGTGTAATGTAGTGTGTACAATCTCCTTGTACATGTAGCCTGCTTCAAAGATTACCTTCATTCTTTTTGCATTATGGCTCCAAGCACTATGTTCACGAAAAGTCATGTATGCGGTCGATGCTAATTCCTGCTTGACAAATTGCGGCGCATCAGTCAAATGGGAACAAACATGAAGTACTAATGTGGAGACGATAATCACCAGTTGAGGTAATTGTTTCAGTTAAACAGACCTACCTTCCTTAAATGAAGTTTCTCCGTCAAAAGCGAGCTATCTTCCTCTTTGAGCTCAGAAAATGCCTGCAAATGAAATCGTACATTAACAAACACAGACAATTTCTTTCCATATAAAATACACAGTACACACGAAAACCAGCCAGTAATTCGCCAAGATGAGTACTCGTGAATATATAGGCAATAATCAAGTAATAATGCAATGATGAGCTGATGACTTTAAAGAAAGTTAGCCGTGATTTACAAAACTTATTCAAATAAATCAAATTCACGACATACTCAACAAAGCATAAATGCATGAGGAATCACAAAGATTGAGATTGAAAAAGAGAAGTAAGCTACAATGTCAGATGCCTTAGAATAATCTTTGACATAATGACATATGTCATCAATTGGACAGTTTAAAACACCGTCAACTTTTTCATCTAATTATCTACTCCATGTTGTTAAACTTTTTGTCAATTTCCTTTTGGCAAAGTAGATTAATCAATAAGATAATTATGGGGTAGCAGCCTCATGGAAGGGGGCTCCACATGAAGTCATTGCTTTGACATAAAAGGGAACGGGTTACTTGTCATCTTATCAAATCCATTTCAACTTTACTCCATTTGAAAGTCATTTCAGAAATTTGACTAAATGGGAGGGAATAATCCACTGAGTTCTCCCTAGAAATTTCAGCCTGCACACCCATGTCTAAATCCACGAGATTCTATTCAATCCTCATGGTACTTTTCACCAAAAGAAAAAAAAAACAAAAAACGACTACAACTACTGCAGCAGTAGCATAAATTAATAGCTCTAACCCAAGTAGAGATCAAAATAAGAAGGATGGTCTGCGAGATCTAAAAAGTAAAAAGAATCCAAAAACGTGGCAGCACGAAGAGCAAAGAACATGCTCAAAAGGACAGAAGGCAGAAACACAGAAGTCGACATATTCTAGCCAACAATCAAGAAAATAAGACAAATTAATTTACTGACCCATAAGAACCCACAAAACACAGAGAGGTAAACCCACCATAAAGCTATAATGAAAGGAGAGCACCCACTTAACCAAAACCCTGTGGGGCCCAACAGACCAGCCATGAAGCCCGGCCTGAATTTTGACTATTCGGAAGGGGCATTTTCGTCACTAACAAGAAACAACAAGCATATATATGTACACACGAATTATGAAAAAAGATCTAGCGGATCTGGCGTTTGAAAAGAATAAAGGTACACTTGTGATAATATTGAAAGTTACCAGTTACGGAGAAGAAAGGAGGCAAGAAGAAATAGGAATTTTTCTTTTATAATAATCGGTCTAAACACCGTTTTAAAATCATAATTGATATATTTCCTCATGCTTCAATCACAAAACAGAAGGCAAATTACAAGTCAACCATTCATGGCGGAAAAGTGAGGAGAAGATGAGGGAAAATTTCTGAGAATGAGATTTAATGGTTATAATCAATAAAAGGGGGAAAAAAGACATTAAAAAAATCTAGAACTCTGAGTGAGTTCAAAACTGTAAAATTGGTAAGGACAGCAAAATCAGGGTAAATTTATTTTCATTTCGACCAACGAGGAGCGGAATTTGGTAAAATACGGCCCAAACTTCTATGGAAATTCCATCGACCTAGAAAAACACGAAGATTTTATAGATCGGACGGCCAAAAATCTCATGTCACCATCGAAAAAACTCAGAAGTGATGAAAAATGAGCAAAATCTCTTTAAATTATCAACGTTGGTAAAGAAACCGACAGAGGCGATTGAAAACACGTAACTGACGTCATTATGAAAGAGGTGTAAAGGTTAACGGGAAGTAGAAATGGCACATGTAGAGATCTACGCCGACAACAAATTTGCGACAATCGCCACGAAAACGAGACTACAAACCTTGGATCTGACGGAGGACGCTGGATCGGAAGGGAGTCGGCTCGACTCATCATAGCCGCCGTCACTGGGAGAGGTAGCGCCTCCACTCCACGAAGCCAGAGGAGTGGTAGGACTAAATCTCGTACTCGTAGTAGTGGCTGATTCTTTCCTCATCGTCACCAGCTTGGACCGCGCTTGTCGGAGCCCCCACTTTTGCGGCGGCAAAGAAGGCTTTAACGGTTCATATGAAGGTGACTTCCGGAGACGGAACAGTACGTCCACCACCACCGTGTCGTCTGTCAACGCCGTCCTTATCCAATCGTCCTTCATCACCACCACCGGTTCTTGTTCTTATTATTATTATTATTATTATTCAGCTGTTACAAGATTGAATAAAAATTTTAGATGGGATTTTGAGATTTTTGGAAGATTGTAGAGAGAGAAAAGAGTGGCGATGTAGAGGGGGAGAGGAGGGGGGTGAAGGAGAGTGGATTATGCAGAGGAGGCGGAGACAGCATCTGTTTGTGTGATATATATGAGGGAGAAATCGAAGAATTGCACTAAGGAAAAAACAGTTGTTTCGTCAACTTGTGTGATTCCTTTCCAAATTTTCAATTTTGTTGAGATTAGTTTCTAGTTATAGATATTATTATTAAATGTATTTACAAAAAAGATTGCTATACTTTTATTTGGAAATAGAAAATAGGAAAATAAATAACAAGAAAGTTGAAAATTCAAATAGACACTGAAAAAAAATGATGCGTTCGTCAATGAATACGTCATTCTCTTAACATTGTTCCATTTACTTGTTGGTGACTAAAAATAATGTGATAATTCTAAGCCTTCGTTTGATTCTGATTTTTTGATCATAAAAATGAAAAATATGATCGTTATTCATCACATCAAATCATCATATTTGACTTTTTATCTTTTGTGTAAGTCCTATAATGATTATATTTTTCATTCTCATTCTTACAAAAATGAGTATCAATCAAGTTAAAGAAATTTGACAGACTGGATGATATTGATTGCTATAATTTTAGTACAGAAGCTAGCGTATTTGTCGAAAGATTGTTTAGTTTATTTGGTAGGGATTAAAATCTATATTAAAGTTAGCAATTAATTTTAATAACGTATTTAATGAGATCCACAATTTTTCAATAACATATTTCATCAATTTTTATCAAAATCTACTAAATAATTTATTTTATTTCCTCCAAGTAAGTGCTTAATAGTGTATTACAAAGGATTTTAATCCATTCAACCCCTTCCATTGGGTATTTTCTTCCTTGTATATGCGGCAAAACTTTGAGTCTGTCACCTTTGTCTTATTAAGTTATAGTGTCCGACTTAGTGATGTGTGACACTGCCTTGCTCAAAGTTCTCATTGGCTAGAGAGTTTCATGAAGTAGGACGACCGTGATACCTAGGCAGCCTACTCCCTAAGTCATCACTTTTTTTCTTTTGTTGGTGGTGATGGGAGGAGTTGAAGTCAGGGAAGGCACCATTTCACTTTTGATTAGTTACAAGGGATGGTGTTGACATCATAAATGACATTCTTTCAATTTGATCGTGATAATGTTTTCACGTGAAGGCTTTCGTTTGCCATCCTAACAAGATGAGCGTTGTTGCTCGAGCTCCAGCATTAAGCTTTTTGACTTTTTTGACAGGTAAGTTCCTTCGAGTACTTTAAAGTGAACCTCTGTATAATTCAAGGTGGCATTTTCAGTTGGAAAACCAACAAAACTTCTTAATATTTTCGTTGCACATAGCTATAGAGAATTTTTCAATAATTTCTTCATTTGGCATTGTGATCTTAATTGTGGCTCAAGTTTACAACTCATGACGTTAATGGATTGATTTGGTCAATTCAAACAATTCTCATCTCTTTTAAACCTAACCTACTAATAGGTTTTGACTACGAATTCATAAGGATCAAACTGTACAATCAATATTGATTTTGTACACCCGGCAGATTTTGTCATACTATCTCACAACACAACATTGTCCATTGGCCCCCTTTCGCGGGCTTTTTCTTCCTAACACCAGTCAGACTTGATGTACCCCTCTAACACGTGACAATACTCTATTGAGCAGTTAAAAATATTAATGAAAAATGCTTTTCAATTAGGTGCAAAACCAGCTCAAAAATAGGAAGTCGAGGTGGCAACACCTCGATCCTTAGATCTGAAAAAATAAAGGTAAGTGAAATCGGGAGCTGAGGTGATGCCACCTCAACCCCTGTTTTGAGCCTGTTACTGAGCCTGGCTCAGTAACAGGGCTGAATATTAATTTTTCACCAGTTAAATATTGTCAACAATGATGATATCAAACATGATGTACAAGTGACATTATTTCCTTATACTGGCCAGTCTGGCCGTGAATTCTAAATTTGTCATCCTTGTCTTGTCCAGCTAATTTAGTGATGCATACTCCGGAAAGTTCTCATTGGCTGGGGATTTTGGCGATGGCGGACAATCATGATACTTTGTTCGTAGGCCATCATTGTTTTTCTTTGATTTGTGGTGATGGGCGATGCTATAAAATGTCGTTTCAAACTCACATAGTTGCAAGGTGAGTGTTAAAGCAGGCTAAAGTAAATCAATCGAGTTTTTTTGAGTTTTCACCTCCACTACAGATCTTTGTATATGTTGTTACTGTTCCTTAGAGAGCTGATGATGAAGAGCTCCACCGCTATCTAATTCAGCTAGTTCAAGCTCTTCGTTTTGAGCGTTCTAATTCATTTTGTACGCTACGGTTTAACCAAGTTTGTAATGTTTCGAGTTTTAGCAGCATTACGCAATATTGGGTTGGCTAGCTTTCTTTGGCGGTATGTTACGCTCAAAGTTCTCATTGGCTAGAGAGTTTCATGAAGTAGGACGACCGTGATACCTAGGCAGCCTACTCCCTAAGTCATCACTTTTTTTCTTTTGTTGGTGGTGATGGGAGGAGTTGAAGTCAGGGAAGGCACCATTTCACTTTTGATTAGTTACAAGGGATGGTGTTGACATCATAAATGACATTCTTTCAATTTGATCGTGATAATGTTTTCACGTGAAGGCTTCCGTTTGCCATCCTAACAAGATGAGCGTTGTTGCTCGAGCTCCAGCATTAAGCTTTTTGACTTTTTTGACAGGTAAGTTCCTTCGAGTACTTTAAAGTGAACCTCTGTATAATTCAAGGTGGCATTTTCAGTTGGAAAACCAACAAAACTTCTTAATATTTTCGTTGCACATAGCTATAGAGAATTTTTCAATAATTTCTTCATTTGGCATTGTGATCTTAATTGTGGCTCAAGTTTACAACTCATGACGTTAATGGATTGATTTGGTCAATTCAAACAATTCTCATCTCTTTTAAACCTAACCTACTAATAGGTTTTGACTACGAATTCATAAGGATCAAACTGTACAATCAATATTGATTTTGTACACCCGGCAGATTTTGTCATACTATCTCACAACACAACATTGTCCATTGGCCCCCTTTCGCGGGCTTTTTCTTCCTAACACCAGTCAGACTTGATGTACCCCTCTAACACGTGACAATACTCTATTGAGCAGTTAAAAATATTAATGAAAAATGCTTTTCAATTAGGTGCAAAACCAGCTCAAAAATAGGAAGTCGAGGTGGCAACACCTCGATCCTTAGATCTGAAAAAATAAAGGTAAGTGAAATCGGGAGCTGAGGTGATGCCACCTCAACCCCTGTTTTGAGCCTGTTACTGAGCCTGGCTCAGTAACAGGGCTGAATATTAATTTTTCACCAGTTAAATATTGTCAACAATGATGATATCAAACATGATGTACAAGTGACATTATTTCCTTATACTGGCCAGTCTGGCCGTGAATTCTAAATTTGTCATCCTTGTCTTGTCCAGCTAATTTAGTGATGCATACTCCGGAAAGTTCTCATTGGCTGGGGATTTTGGCGATGGCGGACAATCATGATACTTTGTTCGTAGGCCATCATTGTTTTTCTTTGATTTGTGGTGATGGGCGATGCTATAAAATGTCGTTTCAAACTCACATAGTTGCAAGGTGAGTGTTAAAGCAGGCTAAAGTAAATCAATCGAGTTTTTTTGAGTTTTCACCTCCACTACAGATCTTTGTATATGTTGTTACTGTTCCTTAGAGAGCTGATGATGAAGAGCTCCACCGCTATCTAATTCAGCTAGTTCAAGCTCTTCGTTTTGAGCGTTCTAATTCATTTTGTACGCTACGGTTTAACCAAGTTTGTAATGTTTCGAGTTTTAGCAGCATTACGCAATATTGGGTTGGCTAGCTTTCTTTGGCGGTATGTTACAGTGGAAACTTCACGATCCTACATATGTAAAATGATTTTATTGTACCTACGAGATTCTGCAAGAAAGTATGCTGAAGGTCGGGATTTTCTTTCTTTATTTGCTACTTGTGCATACTTAGATGATAAGCCTAAACACCATAGAGGATGAAGCAAAGACTGTCCTTAATTATTTTTTGTGTGTTATTCTTTAAGTGACCAATATTGGACGTGACTCGAGAGCATAACAAAGAAAGTTACAGCTCCTTCCACCTCCTCCTTTAATACTGCTCGGTGTTATTCAATTCGCCTTATCGAACATTTCATGTATGTTTTCAGGATATAGTGGAACTACTGTGATCCGAGGAACGAATGCAATAAACACAAGCCCGGGCAAGGATCCGTTAATTATCAAAGAAGGGCCTATGACTCAGTCGCGAGCAAAGCAGATTAAAGCGATGAAATTGCTTGTTCAAGCTACAATCGACGTAACATTGATCGTGGCAAGCAAAGGAATAAGTGGACATGAAGGCGGGATCAAGTTTGGTGCATTGGATTCAAGTTTTGGGATATATATGAGAAAAAACGAACATAGTGGATAAAAACGGGCATAACTTTCGATTCGGGTCGGATTTTCGTCCATGAGTACAATCCAGAATCGTCACGAAATTTTGCACAAGAAAAAGGAAGTGTTAAATTTAAAGCTATGCAACCACATAGCATAAAAGGCATCCAACCGTATGGACTATTTCCGAAACAAAATTGAAGGCTGACAAATGTTTCATGCGACTGCATTGAAATGAACTAATAGTACATTCCTGGGACGCAATTTTCCAAATTTAGCGAAATCTTTTATTTATACTAAAACTCTTATTTTTGATATCTTTTTTTGCATTTTTAGAGTTTAATTCTGTTTTGGACTAGGGTTTATTGAGTTCTTATAAATTGGGTTCATTATATTCATTATAGACAACTTTGATATTATATTCCAATGAGATGCTTTTATTCCTTTGTTTTTTATTGAGCAATTTATTGAACTTATCAAGACTAATTCTTGTAAGGTTCAAACAAACGGGTGAGATTCAAAAATCTTGTGATCAAGAGATCAATAAATCGTAGGCAATTGATTGGTTGTTTGATTCATTATTTTTGGGTCAAATCCAGAACTTTGATTTATTTGAGTTTCTTGAGTTTGATTCAATTTCGTGATTGAAGCTACGTGGATTTACATTAGTAACTCTTTAGGTGTCATCTATCTTGATGATATGCAGATAAAACAAGGCAGTTCCATTTATGGTGATTTTAAAATTCTAACTCGCGTAG